TTTTTACGCTCAAATGTTCATGCAATATTTTATTGATGCTAGTCATACTAATGTCCAAAGACGCCTCTATCTCACGGTATGTCACATGACGATCTTGCTTTATCAGTTCACGCACAGCATCGATCTTTTCTGGCACAACAACGGATTTTGGACGACCTGCACGGGATTCGTCCTGGATCGAACATCGACCACGATTAAATTCGTTATACCAATTTTTTACAGTGCTGTAGGATGGCGCTTTATCGCTGAATAAAGAATTAAGTTCATCGAAGCACTCTTGTCGTGACAATCCACGTCGAAAGTTATGAAAAATAATGGCACGAAAATGTTCGCGATTCAATTCCATTTTTTGAAAGAGAAGAGCTTTTCAATTTACTGTCCACAACACAAATGAAGCTATAATGGTGAATCGTCTGCTGAATTTATGTGTAAAAATATCAAACTTTCGATTAAAATCGTCTGCGGTCGCTTAGCAACACTTACTGTTGCCAAGGCCAGAAATATAAATAGCAACCCTCGTATTAATAAAAAAACATAATTACAAAATTCAGTTTAGATTAATTCATTCAAATATATTTTAGACTTTCCTGCTTGTTTGCTTGTTTCTTTTTATTAATTTGTTCTTTCTAAATAAATAATCTATAATCTTTCACTAAAATTATATCAAGATCTTTGCAAAAAATATATTATGCAATTATATTATATAATTATATTACATAATTATATTACTATATAATTATATTATACAATTAAATATATCTGTATTAAAAATTATATTATTATTATTACATTATTTCTTAAAGTATATAAAAACTTATATTTAAGTAAAATAATAATTACAATTTTGTGAGATACGGTAAATGTCTGGAAAGCAGAATAAGTAAAGTTCAATCTTTTAAAAGTATCTTAGATTCTTTTTATATTGCTGAAATTTCCAGCTTTTATTTATTTTTAAGTTATAGTGCAACCAATATATTTTTTTTTACCATCTTGAACTGGTAAAACAGCATATACAATCATGTACATTGGCAATAGTCAATAAAATTCTTCACTACATTTTATTAAGTAGCTCTGGTCCCTGTGAGAGGAGACATTTCCAATTGTAACCAATTTCCGATTAACTAGAGTGCTTAAATCTAATCTAGAGCCCTGAGCTTAACGACAATACAAATTTCAAAAATTTTCCATGTTTCAATTGAAGAATTTTTCGCTTATTGACTCATAAATTTCCAATTCACCTCAGTAAATTTGTCGTCTATAATAATTTCGAAGGCCAAGAATTTCCAAATTACTACAGAAACTCAGTGCTGGATCTTAATATGAGTTTCAATAGTTTCATTACCACAAAATATTCCCAACTTTTAATAATGGTCTAATAGAGTAATATTACAATATAATAGTAAAAATAATAATGGTCTAATAATTACTGTAATAATACCCATAATGATGCCAATAATAATGGCTCAATTACTACTAATAGTGGTCATACAGAATTTAAAAAAAAAAAAAAAAAAAAAAAAAAAAAAAAAAAAAAAAAAAANAAAAAAAAAAAAAAAAAAAAAAAAAAAAAAAAAAAAAAAAAAAAAAAAAAAAAAAAAAAACGTTTAACGAGCTTTTGGAATTTTTGACGCGCTATAATTCTATCTGGAGATGGGTGTCTCGTGTCAATAGAACTTACAATGGATTTTTTCATGGTGTAAGTGAAGTTTATCGTTAATGGAAATTTTGACCACATGCGGAGATAAATAAGCTAACAGACAAAAAACTAAAAAGAAGAAAATAATAAAATTAAATAAAGAGTGCATGCTTTTGATAGAGACTAAAGTCGGAAAAATAACTTTATTTTTGTCAGAATTGAAACAAAAAACGTAGAGTGTATCAATTTTGTCATAATAAAATGGTCAAAAAAACTTATTCCCTACTTACGCTTTTTGAAAATGATACACTCTACGTTTTTCGTTCCAGGCTTCTCAAATAAAATTAATTTTCCCCTTTAGTCTATTTGAAAAACTTTCATTTATTTATTTAATTATCTTAGTCAAAATTGAAAAAAAAAATCAGATATTGTAAACACAAAATTGAAACATAACAAAACAAAATACATAACAAACAAATAACATAACAAACAAATAACATAACAAACAAATAACATAACAAACAAATAACATAAGAAACAAAAATTACATCTAGATAAATATGCGTACAAATCAAGTTTCAATGAACTGTTAAATTAATAGTTAGCAGGAAAACTACGTCCATTACCTAATGCGAAAAAAACGAAGTATCATTTTTTTTTAAAAATTAGATTAAACGAATGTGTGCTTAAATAATTGAAGTTAATTAATTTTAATAAGGAAAGTAGTTATACAGCCTCCCCAAATGTATGCTAAAATTTAAAAAAAAAACAAAAAAACAATTAAGATCGATAAAGTGATAAGAGTTTTTTAAACTTTATTTACTTTCCGTCTTATGATTAATTATAAGGAGAGGAAAAACTATAAGGATAAATTTTATTAAACAAAACGGATTATAATTTGCGAGATGAATTGAGAAACATTCAGTTTTTTATGATTAAGAAGAAGATAGGATTGCATTTTCAATAACAATATTGAAATTCGGTGCAAAAGCTTGTGGAAATTATTATGATGGTTTTTCATTGAATCATTCGTCAATGAAAATGCGGGTTCAAAGTCTTTTTCAAACTTTATCTCGTTTTTAATAAAGTTCTAAAACACGTTAACTTTGTAAGGGAAGGTGTTTAGTCTTTCTACAGTATGCGATTTCGGATAAACAAATGCAAAGTAAATTGACTGCTCTATAACATTTAAAATCTACAGTTATTTACAAGTTAATATATAGTTAGAAGAATGATTGATTCCAGTTATTAAATTCATTATTTATGAGGGAAAATTTTTACATCCATTATTTCTTTTATATCCAATGTATAGAACGTCAGGAGTGTAATTAAAATTACGTTGTCCTAGCAACGCGCTGTTCGCAATATGTAAAAATGAAACTCTGATGTGTGTGATTTTACTGACCTTGTGCATTACAACTTTATCCGGTTCGAGAAATAAATTTAATTTCAGTTTTCGACTAATTTCAGAAAAAAGAAAACAAAATGGACTGTTACACTCCACCAGATGCTGAAATTCTTCAGCTATAATAGCACACGTATAGCCCCCTTGATTTTCCAAAATTTATTACAGCTCTACTTAGGATATAGGATAAAGATAGCTATTTTTCTAAATTAAATACGGAGAAAAAATATGGTCAAAACTACTAGAATATTATAAAATTTACTGTTTTTTTATAATCTTACCGTTTTTTTTGATATGATAAAATTTACCGCTCTGTTGAAATACCAAAAATAAACTCCGTAACTTTTACCGAAGATTTTTGGCAATGTCTTTATTTCATTAACAGATGAATTAACAATTAACTGGTGCAGTTTTGGCATACAACTTGTAGCTTCTGTGACCGATCTTTTTTTTCAGTGAATTTTTATTCTACCAATTTCCCTTCGCTGGACTCATGTTTGACGAACCCAACATGTGCATTAAAAATATCAATTTTTAATGTCATACGTGCAACGCATTCAAAGTTCCAATGTTGGGAACATCTCCAGTAGGAAGTGTCTCCAATTCTCTTCATTAAATTAAAAATTTCTTCTTCAAAAATTAAATCCCGCTTTCTTCTCTTTAAGGGTATTAAATAAAACGTCTCCACTAAGAAATCGAAGGACGATCGACAATAATGGATTGATAAAAGAATTATGTACGATATATTAAGACACATAATAATGTGAAATGCGTCTTTTGTAACTTACAAGCTACTTTTTTTTAGCGAATTCATATTCGATATCACTTTAAGAGCAATCTAGTTCTTATTTCATTTTTCAGTCTCGAATTTTGGAGCATGCGCAGCTAATTCTTGTGAAAGAGGGAAAGAAGATCTTTTTATTATGCCAAAGATCAAGCGTAAGCTAACTCTATAGTTCTTTCGATGTGAGGATACCTGCCCCAGGTGTGGGGGTAAACACCACAGGTGATATTTTCGATGAAACTACCCTGAAATCGAATGTGCAAAAAACTAACACTCACAGCAACAATAAGAATAATGGGATACCTACAAGTGACGTTGTGTGGGTATCTCGATCCTGATTGGTTGTTAAAACAGGCATTTGTTTACCATGGCGATAGTTCATTCCATTCTATTTTGAGTAAGCCAATCCTGTCAAGTATCAATTCTCTTGAAACATTCTATATTCTTGCACAATGATTCTTTCACAAAGATTTCAATTCTTTCTTTATGTATTTATTACTTAACACAAAGAAGGCATGAAGCCATGCAGAGCATAAACATACTAATTATGCATCGAAGTTGCCAGTACACAAAACAGAAATATATCAGACTTACAATAAAATACATAAACAAATAATAAATGTTAGTTAAGTAAAAGACGCAGACGAGAAAGAATTATATTTCAATAAATTCGATGTGCGATACGGAGCTGTGTTACCTTCACGTTAATTAACATTCTAAGTTTTGTGGAGAACCTTAATATACCATTTTGTTTATAAACGATCGGCTGGCACTGACATCGTAGTTCACATGTGAGGGTGTTTATGATCTTCTTCTTGAAGTTCGAGTATCTAATTGTAAGTAATATTTCCATTTAAAAATGCCATTTAACAAGCATTTGAAATTTTAACATTCATTTATTTTGATTTTAAAACAAATTTTAAATTAAAGTAAGGAATGAAAAAATTATGAATTAATTTTTAAAAAAAATCGTCTTAAGTTTCAGTTTAGTTCTTTCAAATCGTAACTATAAAACTTCATAATTATTTTTCAGTTAATTTAAGAATTGTGAAGCATGTTGATCTAGATTTATTCATCAGTATTTTAACTATCAATCATCACGTGTCTATTTATGAGAGCCACTTTATCAATTAAAGAGCATTCGTTTCTCATTTTCCTATCTTACTTTCACTTTCACTTTCAAATTGCGAAAACACCGCAGACTGCAGTGACCTTCAACGGAAAATGCCCGAATTATCCCATCTCCGTTCATCCTCTTCTTTGTAAACAGTCTCTTCTAATAATCGATGTTTTCTGCGCAATAACTCCTCAACAGCTGTAATATTTAGTAAGTAATCTTTTCTTTTACAGTACAATTATAATAGAGAATCATTTAAGACTTCTTGTATTTAATTTAATTTATATATTTTATATTACTTCTTATATTTTTGTATATTTTATTTATTTATTGAGACTTTGGGTATTTTATTTAAGTATTCACTATTTTTGTCTAAAGCATGACTGTCGCAGGGGTTCAATTTTTAGGGGGGTAGGGGCGGATCCAGACATTTTTCCTGGGGGGGAAGTCATAGACCCCGACCCCCCCNAAGCAGAACAACACACACACACAAATTAATTTTTTTATAAAAAAAAATTTTTTAAATATTTTTTTTCTAAAAAAAAAAAAATGGTGTTTTTAAAGCTAGTCTTCTCATTTATTTTTTTCATAATGAACAATAGAAGAATGCATAAATAATTCAAGTATTCAAAATCTTTAAATAATAAATGTAATGCGTTTTTTAGAAACTCCGGCAAATACAATCTTTGTTTAAACCTGTTGAAGCGCGCTTCAACATTATTAATGTTTACAATGAAACTATGACGAATTTCGCTTTAATCTTTTGGATTATGATTCTTGAAACAGTGAAGAACATAATTAGATGGAAAAAAAAATCGATTTTTCCGACCTACCTAGGCGTATATGTCCCCTTAAATAATTTTCAAAATATTTTATTTTTTTCGTAAACTATTAAAAAATTTATTATTTTCATTTTTTTCCAATTTTTTTTGGAGGGGGCATCACCCCTATGACACCCCCCCCACTGGATCCGCCACTGGAGGGGGGCGTAATTAAAATACGCAATCACAATAACTCTCTAAATTTCACTCACAAGAAAAAAATTCTTATGTCAGCTAATTATTTGAACAATGATTGATTTTTTTAATCTCTTTCTCGATTTTAACTTTGATAATATTTTTAAAAGTTTATTTATTCGTCTGAAATATTGAGGGGGACTTTTAGAGAGTTGTAACTCTTGACGGGAACGTATACCAACCCTCACCACCAATGGTCATAAAGCAATGTCGAGATGTGAACAAAAAACATACTTTCTCTGACTAAACATACCTTTTTTCGACGGATTTGAATTTTCTGTTCTCAAAATATTGGAGGTAACTGCGATCTGAGTAAAATGGTCGAAATAGTTCGGCCAGGAGAGCGGTCTGAAGTTTGGACCCCTTAATGCTAATTTAATTTTTCTTTTTTCTTTTTGCGTATTTGTATCTTGAGAACATTTTAAGAGTATTAAAACATTTTTGCACAAGGTTAAAAAATTTATTTATCTAAAAATAATTCCGTGCAGAAAATAGATTTTAAAAATTATTTATTATTTTATATAACAATAGTTTAAAAAATTGTAAGATATATATTTTGAATTGTATGATAACAAATCGTTGCATAATTTTAAAGAACGCAATTTTATATTGCAGAATGCATAATCTGAGCAAAATCAGTCGAATAGTCTTTGAGAAATCGTGCTGACATTTAATAGGAAATTAATTAAATTAAAAGAATGTAGTAAAATTGGCCTTCCAGGAATTCATTGTCTCTTGTTCCCCTGGGTCTTACTTCAATTGCCCGAACAACCTACCGCTTATATGGCAATAGTATAGAAAAAATAAGGCTGTATACTTCGATGAATACAATATCGATGTGAAAGTAGTATAATAAATATCGATGTGAAAGTATAATAAATATCGATGTGAAAGTATAATAAATATCGATGCGAAAGATGTTAACATAAATTCACTTATAATAAGGAGAGATTCCTTAAACAAATTTACATTAATTTCATTTTTTAAAAAAAACGCATGATATCCAAAAATTACATTAGCCCTATTTTAAATTATATATGAAATGAAAATTTGCTTCTAATAAAAACAGATGCCTTCAATTTATTAAATAGTGTGAGTTAATTAAAAAAAATGCGTTAATAATGAAGTAAAACACGAAAGTTTTTTTAATTAAGAAATGTTTCAGAAAGATTAACATTTTAATTGATTTCTCAATTTATAATTGTGGTATCGAATCCTCATATAACAAGGTGGAAGAATAATCATGAATTATTTTCTTTCCAATTTCTGTTTTTGTGTAAATTATTTTTGAAGTTATACTTCTTTTGCGACTTCCAACATGGTTGCGTTAAACGTTTAACGCTTCATTTTTATTGGCCGGGAAATCACGTGGTAGGATCCAGTTTTCCATCATTCATTTCCATATTGTTTTGGTTCTCACTAGCATAAAAATAATAAAAGTCATAAAAGTATTGTTTTTCTATAAATATTTTTTTAGTTTGTTTTGATACACATATAATTTAATAGGGTAGTATTTTTTATTTTCAAATTTAGTGGATAACAATTGTAAAAAATGAGTGAAAACAATCCCACGGACAATGCGACGGATTTAAGGTTATGTCAAGGTACGTCTCTTGTCAATATCAATTGATTGTTAGGTTTTCTCTTCTGAAATTTCTCCCAATACTTGATCCAGGAGTTCCCTTGTCTTCTGAATTGGGTTCAAAATTACAAGGCTACGGAGTTGAACATTAGTAGTCGTAAACCCAAAAATTGGGTCATCTGTTCAATGACGGTTATAAAATAAAATAAAATAGTTGATAAAAATAAAATCTAAGCGCACGTCATATTATGCAAAAATGCATGTGTTCACTCCTAGGGAATGATTTTTTAAATACCCCCCCAACCTGTCTATTATGTCGAGCGCTTATGGAATAAATTTTGCAAGCTTTTGTAATAATATGTAGAATTGGCTATTTCCTTTGTCATTTCAGGTGATTTTCGAAGTGTTTATGAAGCAACATCAAATTTTGAAAAAATAAATTCTCCCAGGAAAAATGAGAAATTGACTGATTGTGGCAATATCATAAAAAGGAAGACAGGATATAACTCTGATAAAGAAGACAGTCTTCTGAAAAGAAAAAGACGGAAAGTAAAATCTAGATTATTTAACAATTCTTACCAAACGGGTGCATAAGTTATTAAAACAAGTTGGTAATAAAGCATTTTAATTTTTTAAACCCTAAAATTTTCCTTTATAAAAATGGTATTTGCTGTAGGCTTAGCTGTTGTTACAGCAATTAATCCTGCTTCATCCGTGGTAACGGCACCATTACTAACTAAAATAGGTTCAGGAGCAGTCGGAGCTGCAGCTGGAACTGCTGTTGGAGTTGCAACTGGTACAGCTGCAGGCGCAGCTACTGCTGGAACAGCAACTGCTGGAGCTATCGCTATTAAAGCCACTGCAGGTGTAACTGGTGCTGCTTTAACAGGCGTTAATATAGCTATCGGTCCTCCTGGCTGGATTGTGTTAGGGAAATCTGATTATTCCTGGACATGTTGGAAAAAAATAATCCATGATGATAGTGATAGCGATGATGGAGTTCCGTTAGCCTACATATTTGATCACCATAATGTAAAGTCAGTGTCCAATCATGATGACCATTATAGCGTTGAAAATGTTTGGGGAGAAAAATTTAAGATTTATTTTGTAAAACTTCCAAATGGGAACATTGCTGCTCACGCCGAATAAATTTTTTTGGTTTTATATGGGCTTTTACAGTTATAATTGATAATTTTTCTTGATTAGTTGTAGCTATTAATTAGAGAATGTCTGTTCTCTAAATTGTTATGTATGGTATGTTCAAATGTTAATTTGAAGCAGAGTGATCCCAAATTAAGTGCCAAGCCCCCAAAACATGGGTTTAGGCTTCCCTAAAAATGACCCGTAAAGTTTATTCGGCAAAGAAAAACTACCATGCAGAACCCATGTAGAAACAACCCATGTAGAGTATTTCGAAATGTTGACTTTATTAAATGTATTTTCGTGCATAAAAATGTGGTTTTATATGTAATTTTGCTCTATTTAATCCCCTTCCATATGCTTTTCAAATTAATTTTTGAATAAAGTCATAATTAATTTTTTTATGACGTTGCATAATATAAATTCCTTTTAGTTTAATAAGATGATTTCATCACTGTTAGAGATATGCAATATAATAATATATGATAATGATATATAGAGCGAAAAAACTGAAACACCCTGAATAACTTTTTATCTAATGATCGGATCTTCACGTTTTAGAACCTTAGTCTTAAAGGCTCCAGGGAGTGAATTCAAATATGTTAATTAATTAGTGTAAACTATATTTTATTACAAAATTAGACCCAAAAATATTCTTTTGTGTCTGTCTTGTGAACTGCTTTTCTCTGAATTTATGTACCTTTTTTCTACAGATTTGAATTTGTGACTCCCAAAATATTGTATAGTTCATATAGTTTGGTCAGGAGAGTCCAGTAGGTCATTTTAAAGTAAGGATGCACAACTTGTAGTCCGCGGGCCACACGCAGCCCTGCAACTTTCGATGTGTTGCTCACGGTAGCAACCTGAATGCAATGAAAAAAATATTTGTTTTTGAAAAATTAAAAAAAAGTTCATAAATTTGAAATTGTGCATTTAAGTTTTTAATGTACCCAATCTCAACCAATGCAGTTTTTCGATCGCTTTTTTTCGATGGTAAACGCTACGGATTTACGCTAGTTTTGAAAATCTCAATATTTTTTTCAATTACGACATTATTATGATACAAGAATATTGAATTTTAGTTATCACGCTTGACTCTCTTCGTGTGTGACGATTTTGTCATAAATCCAATGACTTTTCAGTAGTTATTATTAGTAGTAGTTATTTTCAGTAGTTCAGTACCCATTTTTACGTAGTTTCTAAAATCGCGATTTTTTAAAATTTGTTTTAACGTCTAGAAAGTTTTGAAACACTTTATTTTCGCAAACTTCGTCGCAAACCTAAATGTCTTTTGATCCTTTTTCCGGTAGTTATTGCTACGCATTTTTGTGTGATTTTTAAAAATTTCGATATTTTTAGCTCGATATTATTATGAATCGCGAGTAACAAAACGCTAATTTAGATAGTCATTTTTGACGTGATTTATTTGTACCGATTTTATCGCACACCGAATTATTTATGAATCGTTAGTTAGGCAATTATTGCTACACATTTCTACAAGGTTTCGAAAGTCCCGATATTTTTTTATACGCTATTACGATACTTTAATTTCAAATAACGCATTTAAATACATAATTTTTTAAAGTGCTTTATTTATGCCGATTTCATCGCAAATATAAAGTGATTTTAATAATTTCTTCGGTAGTTATTACTGCACTTCTCCTCGCGATTTATAAAATCTTGATATTTTTATTACTACTGTTTCACGGCACGCAAGTTTTGAATCGCGCATTAAAATAATCACTTTTTACGTGCTCTGTGCCGATTTTAACATAGTATAGGATTTTCTTTTTGGTCGTTAATTCTACTTGCAATTTAAAAGTCACACATCGTAATTCGCATTCACGTGATCCAAAATGAAAAAGTAATCAGTTGTGCAATTTCTAATTTTAAACATTTAGAAGTACTTAATTTTATGCCAACATGTTACAAGATTAACTGATAGAAAGAATTTAGTGCCTAGAACAATGATGTTTATATGACAATTACTACCTAGAATTTCAGTCAACATGTTTGTCGAAATACTTTGGCATGCTGCCTGTCGTTGGTCACTCTGCTGGTCATGCGGCCCTTCACTCAACATTGTTGTGAACCCAAATTTTAGGTATTCTCAAATACGTGACTTCTATACTGAGACCTTATGCATTATATTTTGTATGTTATGATTCTGTAAACTGTGACTTTATATGTTGCCATTTGTTTTGCTATATTGTGATTTTATATAATGGTATGTGTCTTGCTATACTGTGAATTTATAAATTGTACTTTGTATGCAACATATTTATAACAGTGCTATTGGTGAAACTTTATCAATTTTGGCTTCTTTGTTAAGATAGAGTGTTATGAAATTCAAAACATATTCAAATATTTAAAAAAATATTCGAATCTGTTATATTCGAAATACGTAACTTTGATAATAATACTACTTCGCTTTCATAAGGATATTACTTTACTTTTTCATATTGATATTGTTATTGATGTTGTGATTTGATACAATAAATTTAGAAATATTCTGATTTGGCAGCATATTTTTTGTTTGTGTTACTTCGGATAGAGTTGAATTAACTATGGTCACATTGTATAAATTTAATTAAAGTTCAAGAAGTATTAAAATATTGAATAGAAAATTTTAAATTGCATGACACATTATTATCTCATATTTTCAGAGGTAAGCAACTCATTTTTAGCAACTCAGAAATCTTTGTGATACATTTCAGTGTTTTTGATAAACATTTCGCAGGTAAGCCCATGTGTAATTTTTGTTGTTGACGAAACTCAAATATTTGACGCATTTGTTTTCTTAATCATCTGTCATGATCGGGAATTTGAAAGTTCTCGAACCTTCTTTTTCTTTTCTTTTTTTTAAAAATCTAATTTTTATACTACTTGCGCTGTATGACTCCTTCGACATAGTACAGGAGTTAGTGTTCTCACTTTTCTAATCAATGACCCGGGTTCAATTTCAGGTGATGAGTGAGTACTTGTATTCCTTTTATTTTATGTCATATTTCCTACTCAATTTTATGATTGAAATGTGGCTCACAGCACATCATCCAACCTTGACTGAGTCACTCTGTCCCGGTTTTAGGATTCCATCTTTTAATGAATAAGCGAGAAATGCCACATAATTTGCTCCTGGTCAGACCACATGGGCAGTGGATGAGCTGGCATCCCTCCCTCCTAACTCCCACTCCCCCCAAAAAAGAAGGATATTTTCAGTTACGGCAGATTTAACTTGCCCCTTGCTGCATATATGTTTTGTCAACTGTTGGGATCGAGCTCACGACTCTTAGCTCGCCACCAGTGGCATGAGTGGATGGATGCCCGGTGGCTGAGTGGTAGCGCTTCGTACTCCTGTGCCACAGGTCCTAGGTTCGATCCTCGAGCAGGGCAAAGTAGACTCAGCCTTTCATCCCTTCTGTGGGTCGATAAATGAGTTCCAAGCATGCTTGGGATCTAAACACTGGGGGTTTCGAGTTCGGCTGACCACCTAATCGGAACATCTGTTCCGGCAGCCCAGAGCCCAAGGTCAAGAAAACTGAGATGGGCACAGTAGGCCTTGGCCCTCAATGGGCTGTCGGGCCACTGAGTTTAGAGTTTAATGGCCTGAGTGACGCCTTTACCGACTGCACCACTGGAGCGATACTAAGCTGAATACTTCTGACGAAATTATATCTTCAACAAGTGAGAATTAGCAATGATAACAATTTCAGGAAATTTTCTCTCTGCGTATTTCCCAGGAAACGGTTTCGTCAAAGACATAATTAATAATTCATAACATCCACTTATAGAGCACTGAGAAAAAAAGTATGATTAAAACCTTCACGGATATGATAAAATTTACCGTGAGGTAAATTTTATCATATCCACCAAAAGTGACGGTAACTTTTACCAACGCTCTTTGGCAATAGTTTTGGTATAAATAATTGTTTTATAATATGCGTTAAAGTTTGGTAAATGTGATAAAATTAGGTAATTTTATCACAATACTTTAGAGCATGGCATAAAAAATCTTTTTCTTCTTCCTTTTTTTACCTTTCAGAAATATTGGCAATAAAATTTATTAAATATAAATATAATAAAATTTATTTTTCAGTTTTATATTTTTTACTAAATGTGTGGTTTATAAGAACTATGAATTTGAAAACTAGAATTCTCGTTAAACCGTTAATATATGAATTGAAAAATTATAAATTTAATGGTTTAAATACGGTATGTTTTATTGTTATTAACAAGAATTATTGTCTTCTTTACCAGAAGTATCATTACCATACAGAACGGTAATTTTACCAGAATTTTTTCCCCGTATACAATACGTGTATGGATCGAAGAAAAATGTATTGAGAACTCGTTATCAGGATTGGGTGATGTTAAGATTTTGGCATCGCGATGTATCGTCATGCTAACATCACGATGTTTCGATACATTAATGTTTTACATGTAGAGTAAGTTGCATTTTTTTAAAAAATAAATGCTGCATTTCTTATAATTATTTCTCAATATTTAAAGACATGGATGTCTGCAAGAAAGCGATTAAAAAGCATAAAACGGATTGATTGTAAAAAAATCAACAGGATTCGCACACACACACAATTTAAAAAAAAACATCTTCCATAACTAAGAGATTCAACAACATTTCGATTCTCAATCACATTCGGATTCATCATGTCAGCAAAACGATGACTCAAGATGTAAAAAAAAAAACGGGGAAAGATAACAATCTTCGCCACAGTTATCACTGCACACTTACGGAGAAAAATTATTTTCGCGCGAGCTTGCAGACATCGATGTACTATCGGGAACAATGCTCAACATGGCGCACATAGAGATCGATGTCAACGATGCATCGGGAACTATTGTAGGCATCTCAGTAAATCAAATATCCGATGCTTCGAAAAATTGCCAATCCAAACATCGGATCAGTGATGGAATCGATATTTTCCGATGCATCTATTTATCGCCCAGTCCTACTCGTTATACAGTATAATTGGATGCCTGCTTGATGTCAACAGTACATCGGGAAATACCGTACGAATCTCAGTAAATCAAATTTCCGATGCTTCGAAAAATTGCCAATCCAAACATCGGATCGTTGATGGAATCGATATTCTCCGATGCATCGATTTATCGCCCAGTCCTACTCGTTATACAGTATAATTGGATGCCTGCTTGATGTCAACGATACATCGGAAAATACCGTACGAATCTCAGTAAATCAAATTTCCGATGCTTCGAAAAATTTCCAATCCAAACATCGGATCGGTGATGATTGCATGGAATAGATAATTTCCGATGCATCGATTTATCGCCCAGTCCTACTCGTTATACAATATAATTGGATGCCTATTTGATTTTTTTTTAATTCACCTTCTCTCATATTGCATGATTTAGTAAACACAAAAACATTTGCACAAAGGGCGCAGTTAAAAACACTTCTTTTTCATCTTATAAGTTCATGATGCTTTTTGGGAGATGGGAACTGCGACGCCTTCCGTTTGTTTGGGATACTGCGTCACTGTTCGATGATTCCAGTAAGTGCTGCTCAATTGGTGGTTATTGAAGCTTAAAAGTCTAAAAAGAAAGAAAAGAAAGAAGAAACCACAAAGGGAACAAAAGGGAAAGTTTTAAGAAAATAATCCGTCACGTGCGTTAGGTGTTGAATGTAATTTCTTACCTCAGATCTTACGGGTATATAAAGTGATTACCTTTCTCTTTTGCCTAACTTTTTGATACTTGATTTGCGCTAATCGGAAGTGACTGATTTTGTGATTTTTTTTACTTGTATTTTGAATATTTGAAGATGTTTTCATTGAAAATATGCTTGGTAAGTAAGAACATTAAATGAATATTTTTCGTAGTATGTTTCATGAAAAAAATAGTAAAGCTGTGATTAATAAATATGCTCTCCTCTTTCTATGATGTTAATCGTAATAATGAATTTTTAAATAAATTTTAACCAAAATATTTCAAACTTGACTTTTTTTCCAAAATTAAAAAGGTTTAGCTGTAATATGTGAAATAATATCTAGAACATTAAAAGTTGTAAGTATTTTTTTTTAAAAATAAAATTTTGTTTAGTTTTTCTTCTTTATTTATTTTCAAGTAATGATAAAACTGAAAAGTACTGATAATATTTTGCTGTCATGAATATTCTAAAAAAACTTTAAAACAACGTTCTTTAAAAACTATAAGAAAATAACTGTTTAAAATTTGTAGCGTTTGTGATGTTGTCTACAAGAAATAGATTTCTGATGCTTAATTTTAAAATAAATAAATAATAATTACGTTGTTTGAACTTAAAATTTCGTTGTATCTTTTACAAGCTAATATCAGATAATACTGAAAATAATTTTATGCATAAATATTGCTTTTCCAAGTAAATTTTGCTAAGAAATTCGCTTCAAAACATAAATATTTTAGTTATATAAAAATAATGATCATAAATTATAAAAAATAATTTTATTAATTTTTATATACTTATATTTTACATAGTTATATTTTACTTAGTTTAATCTTTTTATACTTTTAAAACTATTACATTTTGTTTTCAAAAAAATTTAAAATTGCAAAATCTTTAAAAAAAATAATGAATTTGCCAAATTGCATAGAAATTATTCTAAATTGTCTCTGATTTACTTTTACTTTTTTTACACTCAATTACAAAAAAGGGAGAAAAATTAATTTATATAATTTACTATTGTTACTTAATTTTCAGAACATTCTCAATACCTGGAATTGTACTCAACAAATTTTTGTACAGAATAGACAGTAGCGATTATTGAAAATGCATTACTTACTTCTGCATAAATATGTTATTATGAATTAAAATTAATTAATTGGAAAAAAATGTATTTTTACAAAGAAAATTAATTGTATTATTGTTTTTTTACATCCAATTTTTAATAATAGATTTTGTATGAGATTTAAAACGAAAGTAAATGCTTAAAATCATAAATATCATATCTGTTTAGTTGCATTTTTCTTATTTTTAATATTTACTTTTTTTTAGTTTTTTATTGTTTTCGTTTAAATTTAAAGTAACTGATGAAAGTAATGTTATAGTATTACCACAAAAAAGTATGAAATAAAATGAAAATTTATGTTTAAAGGAATTAATTAGAAATTGTGAGAAACATTTGCGATGTAATTTTTAGAGTGATGTTTAAATTTAGAAGACACAATGATTCTTAAAGAAAATTTTATACTGTCTGCATATAAAATCAGTTTAAAATTCTCAGCAAGAATAAAAATAAATATTTTTGAAAAATAAGTTCTTATAGGTAATTTATTTAAAGAGAAAATGTATTTTGGTGTTACGCAAGGGATGTCTAACTTTAATCTATTTCTTTTCCAATTTTTTTGAAGTTTTATTTCATGAATATCAATATAGACAGCCTTATCTCATAGTAACTACTTTAAATATTATTTCAAGAATCTTTATTTTTTCTATTTTAGTGTTTTAAGCACCAATATATTAGAGCTGCAATAACAAATTTCCTAGTGTCCCTATTCATTTTGTTAAAGAACAATAATTTCTTGATTTGTCTACAAAAATATCTTTAGAAAAATATCTTGCTGTCTGTCTATGGAGATTTCATAATAAATTATTTAAAAATATAATAAATTAAAATATTATTAAATAAAACATAATTAAATAAAGCATAACAAGAATGAATGTTATAAATCAATATTTTTAGTAGTCTACGTGTATTATTGGCACTACGAAAGAGAGCATTTTAAATCTTAGAATAACCACTCACGCACGCACACAAATACAGGGTTATTCATAATTCCCTCCGCCTGTAAACGCCATTTTTCTTTACTGCAACGGGCTTCAGTGGTACATGTTACTGCCAGCTACCGGCAACTGCTTAAATTAAAACTTGAATACTTTCGGAATAATTTCATGTGTTCTTTTTTGCCATATTCGTCTTCGTTTTTTTACTATAACGCTTCGAAACCCCGGAGGGAATTATGAATAAGCCAGCATAATATTGAATTAAAAGGATAAGTAACGGCAGTTGGAGACAGTTGGGCAGTTGCATTGGTTTTCAGACGTTAATTTTTATAAAATATATTATGATTTTTTTTTTTTGTGCAGTGTTTAATTTTAAAAAAACTACAAAACGGAACGACATAAATTAGCATGAATATAATGATTGGTTTTTAACAAGAAATGATTTAATAGAGAGCCTTTACACGAAAAAGGGTGTAGGGTGAGACATTAAATATGCTTCTTAATTTTATAAGATTTTATTTTGAAGTAATATTTTTTTCCGAGTTTTGCCCTCGAAATATTTAAGGAATGCCTGCAATCTGGAAGATAGGGTTACAGTGATTAGTAAGGAGAGATGTCGAAAATTTGTGCTTAATTGTTTTGCTTACTTCTTTTTATCTTTAGTAATTTTTAAAACAATTTATAAAATTTTTACGAAATAATATCCATAGTCATTTTCTTAATGATCGAAAAAACTTGGGATTGTTAAACATAGTTTCATTTAAATCCTTTTAAGGGGTATGTAGGAGGTTTAAATTACTACACATTTTTGGTGGCGACATCTGGAATTTTAACTAAATGGGTTAAAAAGTTTATCCCTTTGACGCAGATTTTGTGTTAAATATATTTTTCATACTTTTTTCATTGTTTTATATCAATTTAGGTAGAAATTTAGCATTTTTAATAATTTATGGCTATGAACTATAGCATGAAATACCAATGTCTTTTTTATACGCTAAAGTTACAATTTTCCAATCACGGCTCACTTCCAAACAGTCATTTTCAGAATTTTATCTAATTTTCAGTTATTTGGATCTAAAAGAAACAGTTGTTCATCATTAAAATTTTTTTAATTTGCAAATTCAATCATTAATAAATTTTCGAATATGAAAAAAAAAGTTTTTTTTGTCTAACTCCTTTTTATGTGGATTTTATATTTTAATACAAACACAATAACGATAATTTAGCAGATTTCTTTTTAATAACTATTAAACTGTTTTCAAAATTAAAAAATACCAAAATGTATTTTCGCTTGTAGTTAGAGGGTCAGGAGAGAAAATATACAAAGGAGGCACCGGTAATCCATTTGCTTCAAAATATTATTACTAAATTAGCATTGAAAATTATATTTAAATGTTCACAAGTCTAAAACTATTTCACTGATTTTGTTTGAATCTTGGATTTTCTATTTAAATTTGTATTGTTTACGAGAACAAAAACATTTTATTTTAAACTAATTTGCTTTAAACCGTTAAATAAAAAAAATAATGAATGTTAATTCAAAACTGTTATTCTCATTTTAAATATCTGAAAGAGTTTCTACAGATTAGCATAAAGGCTTTCTAATAATTTTTAATAGATAATTTAATAATAATAATTAATTTAATAATTTTTATCTAAAAATATTTTTTTATTCACTCATTAATTTGAGAAAAACACTAATTAAAAAACTGAAACTAACAGGACCTATAATCACAAGATTTCAATTATCCCCCTTATTTTGATGGATGGATAAAAATTCAAATATTTTAAAAATTACTATATTTTAGATTGCCATTATCCTTAAATATACCTATAGCATCTTAGTATGTAAAAGTTCGATAATTTGATTAAAATTTTCCGGCAATGTAACTTTTGTTTCATATTATGCAATATGATATTGACAACCTTTGAGAAAAGCAGAAGTACTAACTTTCATAAATGTTTAAATTTTTTCTAAAGGAAATTTCATTTGGCAATTTTTTGGCAAATAAACCTTTATTTAAATTTTTCAGAAAAAAAGTTTGTCAAAACTTGAATAAGGGAAATAAATTAGGCTTGTGTAAAGGTATTAATAATTGGACATAGTGAGTTCAAGTTTGTACTTGTTTATCGATAAAGCTTAACTACTTATTGCTCATTTGTTTTCCCTCAATTTGTCAAATTCTTTTCATAAAAGTTTTTTATTGATGATTAACTAACACATTTATTTCTCTGAACTCCAATGATTACTGTCATTTTAAAAAAACATGAACAACTTCATCATTTTGAAACAAATAGTCGTTTGTCTTTTTTTATAAAATAATATTTCGCATATTCTTAATAACAATAAGCGTCAAAAATCACACTTAAGTTCAATGAAGTAAAATTTCAACTTCCGCTTTCACATTTGCAATTTTGAAAAGCAGAAAAAAAAGGAGAATTTTATTCTACCCGGAAACTATTTTTGTTATTATCTCTTCACTTCACTTAACTCCTTCACCGAAATCGTTTGGGTTCTATAAGTGCAAATTACCCATAGCCAAAATGAGATTTTTTGAACAATAGAAAAATACATAAGGCAATTATAATGGAAAGATAATAATGGATTTTTATGTAAGTAATTTATGGAAGTGTGCATTTTTTATTTTATTTATGATACGTGCTCTAAAATCTTGATCAAATACTCATAGGAAACTCCGACGCGGAATAGGACTACTGTTTTCCTTGTTCTTTAAAATCAGGAATACTAATTTATAAATTTTTTTCAACATTTCTAAATTTAGATTTTATACTATTTATAAGTATTCTTTAAATAAAAAGATAATTTTTTTTTTCAAATTGCGATCAATTTTGTGTTCATTTTTATGATAATATGAATAAGTTCCTATTTAAATTATGATTCTCCAATTTGAATTAAAAATTCCTCTTACGAGACAAGTTTATGATGCTTTACGATAAAACTTTTCCCGGATAAAGTTTTGATTAAAAAATTTGGATATATTGAATTTTAATTAAGTACAGAATGCTTGTTACTACAACACTTTCCGTGTAATCTATTCAAAAATTTTTGGAAATAATTAATACTT